CAACTGAACCCACACATTCGCTTTTGGATGAAAGCTTTGAACCTTCTATTGGGCGCTCCAGCAACATAAGCGAGCAGGAATGGGAAAGACGTTGGTACCTTGGAAGCTTGTTTCATCAAGGGACCTCAATTATACGTTGTTCGCACGTTGCCGCCAGTTTCGTTGGTCGCATTCGTACTCGTTTTTTTTATTGCGGTGCACTTTCACATACATGCCTCTGCATGTACTGTCATGGCACAAAAACGAATTCACTGCTTCGTTCCGGATTGCACAACAGGCTACAAATCATGTTGTTCAGCGTTCCAAAGGTTGAAGCTCTGCGCAGTGGCGGAGAGCGATCCCGCACGCTGACAAGCTGCTTCAAGAAAACTTGGCTGTAAGCAAGCTGCCCTTCGCCAAGTGGTGCATCTCCTGGCACTTAGAGCTCATTGTGAACGGTGAAATCGTCCACCTTGAGAGGGGTAGGCCCATATGCATGCTTGCCATTCGGTGGGGGGAGGGGGGCGAAGGCTAATTGCAGGGCACCCGCTTCCTATTAATTCAGTGTAAGAGGCATATTTTGCATCCCCTTTAATTATGACTGAAACAGTGCCTCGCCATCTAGTCAATGTATAGAACACATTTAGCGCCCCTCTGCCAGGTGACTAGGGGAGGGGGGGCGGGCGCCCACCTTCTTTGGCCCTCTCGTGCGGATGCCTATGGGTAGGCCTTTCGGAGAAGCTCTTCGCATTTGTAGACGCACTTGAAATCCCGTTTTCAAAGTAGTTTAGCTACAATGAGCTTCGCGTTGACAAATTGCAAGAACTTGTTTTGTCATTGAAAAAAAAAAGGACGTCACACTGGGCTGCGCACAACATGGTCCGAGCCCACTAATCAAGTGAACAAGATTTCTTTTGATCACCCATTTGCGTCTTTACAAAAAGGCACTCCACAAGGAGCGAGCATTTTCTCGAAGTACCTGAAGCTCAGGCGTGTTGTTTTGGCTCTCAGCCCAAAGAAAACAATGTTCTGTGGGGCACTTGTGGACTATAAAACTTTTTAGGGGGGGATAAGAAAAGACGCGCGACCAATTATTGGAAATGCATTGTTTTAAACAGATAGTGAATCACTACTTGGAAAGACCTTGCATGACCAGTGTGAAATGAAAAGTTTTCATCCAGATAACGCGCGTAATTTTAGTCTCTGACTTTCCCGTTACCCATGATGGGGCTTTATTTACAGATTAGTGCTTGAGGAATTGATGGTTCGCCGTTGAAAGTGTTGCAAGCAATGCTTCACAACTTAATTCATCGTTCCACTCTTACACCTCTTCACATCGAGAAAATGTTTCAGTGCCGTCACGCGCTCACTTTTAGCACCCTGTAAATATTTCAGTTCAGTCGCGCACCCGCATGTGCATCCTGTGATTCCAGAAGCTAATTAACCTATTTTCTCTGTCGCCATTTGAAACCATGCACGAGCAACAAAATATCTTTCAAATGTTTCACTTTGCCCGCATGCGTGGCTGATTCCCGTCTTTGCGCAGCGCATCGCCGGCTTGGGTGACATGAATGGATGGATGAATTGATTATGCTGTACCCTTTAAATCGGGCGGCGTCTAACGCCACCAAGCCATAATGCTTAGTGAACCAAAAACTAGATTTATTTTTTCCCTTTAAATCATGAGGTTGAGGACTCGTACTTTGCAGTGAAGGGTTTAATTTTCACTCGTGCCTTGACTTTAGCCACCTATCGGATAACCTCCTTTTAGTTAATTATACCCACTTAAAGTATATTTTGCCCTTCCTTCTCCTAAAATCCAGTGCTTTGTTTGTTTGTAGCCTAGAATTCATGGCTCATACCAAGTCTGGGGGATTGGCCATGAGAACATATAGTCTCATCTGGACGATAACTGCACTATTGCTTACAACAAAAAAAAGGGGGGGGGGGCGAGTGTTAGAGAGAAGACAGTGTATTAAAAAAGGAAGCAACGAAAGATTCAGATAGTGAGAAAAAATTCCACAAGAAAGTAGACACTAATAGCTATACCTTGATTTTGGGAGCCCACCAGACAGCTGGTTTCGCCTAACCTGATTATTTGGTATGTCACGGATTTATCCAGATTTAAAAATTACTTTTCAACCCATTTTTTTCGAGTACCTGTTAACGTGGACTTTATGTTGAAAAACGTTTAGAGTCTTGAATAAAATTACACATCGCATCAAATGCATCTCTGTGGCAATTTCCCAATACAGCGGCACCAAAGTTTAGAACATTTGCTATGGTTGAATTTAAACCTAGCTTCGCAAAAGGAATATCTAGATGTCGTTTCCTAATTATGCATAGTTTCGACATGAGCCAAAATAATGTTCAATAGTTTCTGATTCTTCGCAAAACGAACAAAGGGTGGTAAGTGTCAGACCAGCTCTGTGTAAATAAAAATTTATAGGGAGGACACGGCACCGTAATCTAGAGATTATAATTTCAAGTTTTTTTTGACAGACTCCACTGGGGCTTTCCATAAAAATTTGAGGTGCTAATAATCTGTCTATTGTGTGAATTTTCTAAATTATCTGTGAAAATAGCAAATTTCCTATATCTGACCCCTGCAAAACTCTGAGCCATCCTCCTGAACTATAGCGTGAAGCCCTTTATAGAACATTATCAAGTGTTCGGCAGTTTCGTCTTCCTCTCCACATGCACTGCATACCGTGTCTACCCCTTCATATTTGGCCCGATATGTCTTGGTTCGCAATACTCCAGTTCTGGCCTCAAACAGTAGAGAACTACTCCGAGTATTATCATAGATCCTTTCCTTGGCAATTTCCTTGCTGTTTTCTAAGTATTTACCAGTCAATTTCCTGGTTCGCTTCCTCCGTTTTGTACCGACATTCTTCACGTACAAGTAGCTGAAAACCTTCCTAGCCCAACGTTCCTCCCCCATTTCTCTAAATCGCTTCTCAAACTTTATCTTGCTGCTAGCTTCCCTGCCCTCAAATGATGTCCATCCCATATCACCCTGTCATCCCTGATTTGGTGTATTGCCGCGAGCTCCTAAAGCAAGCCTACCTATTCCACGTTGCTTAATTTGTAATCTTGCTTGAACTTCTGATCTCATGCACAAGACCGCATTGCCGAACGTCAGCCCAGGAACCATGACCCCTGTCCATATTCCTCTCACAACATCACACCTATTGTAATTCCGCAGTGCCCTATTTTTCATCACTGCTGCATTCATGTTAGCTTTAGTCGTCACGTATATTTCCTGTTCCCTCAGGTACTCGGTCCCATTGCTTATCCATACGTCTAGATATTTGTATTTATCTGTTATCTCTAGCGTGGCCTCCTGTATTATAAGCTCACTACCTTCGTTGTCATTGAAAATCATGACTGCTGATTTTTCCTTACTGAATCTAAAATCTAACCTATCTCCCTCATTACCGCCGATGTCCATCAATCTCTGCAAATCTTCCTTGTTGTTGGCCATTAGCACTATATCATCTGCGTACATTACTGCCGGTAGTGCCTGATCAATAAGTTTTCTTTGTTTGACTAGAGAGAGGTTGAAGCCCAGTCCACTTCCCTCTAATTTGGCCTCTGATCCTTGTAGGTACATCACGAATAATAAGGGTGACTGGGGACACCCCTGCCTAAGCCCCCTTTTACTTCTGCAGGCTTGGATACCTGTTTTTTCCACTTTATAACTACCTTGTTACCTTTATAGATACCCTTTAAAAGATTAGTGACTACATGTTCCACGCCTAGTGTGTCCTGTATTCCCCACAATTCCTCTTGAACCACGCTATCGTACGCTCCTTTGATACCCAAAAATGGTATCCAACTATTATCCTATCCAAAAATGCTATCAAAAAATGATATACAACATGCAAACTTGTGCTAGCGCCACCTGGTGGTTTCCTCTTAAGGCGTTACGTGCTAGCCGGCACGTAAATTTCACTTCTCTACTCTATCCACTGCCACCCAGTTCTCAAACTGTTCTGATCCTGCGAACGCAAAAGCAACCAACGCAACGCCGCTGGGGAGCCAGTGTCTTGGGCCCCCAAATATCGAACTCTAATAATTCTCTCACGTTAGGTTCTTACGTGCGAAACGCCGTTATGGATGCTACGCGGTATATTCGCATTTTCTTCCGCTTTCCTTCGGAGAAGTGCGGGCATTCTTTTCGATGTTTTTCGCCGCCATTAGCCGTCTACAATTGGTTGAAGCGCACATCGTGCGCACGTTGACCAATCACACACGGCTGATGGTAGCGAAAAGCAATACAAAAAAATGAATTGTATTGTTCCGCGATTTCACTATAGGATTCGACCTGGGCATGCTGAAGTGGTGACGAATGCGCGACAAAAACAGGTATTGTTAAGTCACTTTCGCCGCAAATGTGGGATATGCTTTTGGAAGTGCGGCTGCTTCAAATCCTCTGTTTCAAGGTGGTGTTTCAGTGGAAGTCATGAAGAGCTGGTTGGATGCAAAAAAAAGAGTTAGTCGCGCTGCACTGGTTTATCTTCAGGAGAGGCTGGTCGGCCTCCGTGGTTTTAGGCGACATGGGGTGCTTCGCCACACGGGCGATTCTTGCCTCTGGGAAACAATAACCACCCTCCCTATGTCAGCAATAAATGCGTGCTTTTTCTTTTTTAGCACATTGAGAAAGAAAAGAATTATTTTCGCTTTCAGAAATACACCTAACTTAATTTCCAAAATGATAAGTAACGAGATATGCATGCCATGGTACGCACGGTATTCCTATACAATCGATACAGCCTAAGGGTATCTAATTGCTGAGATACAAATACATTTCCCAAAGACCTAGTTACAGAAATAGAGCTACCGAAAAGTGTCTTTAAAATACTGTCGTGATAGTCTTGTATTGCGATACTGCCGAGTTCTGCTATGATGTAAAGAGATACCTTGTTGATGTGTTATTGATGGGCCGTCACTGATCTACTTGTTAAAGGCTTCAATATTGGACTAACATACAATACTATCATTATCACTTCAGTTTTACAATCCCCAAGAAGTTATCTATGTCCTGAAAAGAACGTACTCGCTGATTGAAGCAACCGGTGATACTGCGAAGTGCATATGGAATAAACGAGATTCTCTGAACGACAGTGTACTGAAGCTTCAGGAAGCATACACTGTTGGACTAACAATGTGAGTACTTTCATTGCTTTTTGCAAGGTGTTGTTGAATACTTTTGATATGTGTGGTTTAACGTTCCAAAGCCACCATATGATAATGAGAGACGGCGTAGTGGAGGGCTGATTGATTGATATGTGCGGTTTAACATCCCAAAACCACCATAGGATTATGAGAGATGCCGTAGTGGAGGACTCCGGAAATTTCGACCACCTGGGGTTCTTTAACGTGCACCCAAATCTGAGCACACGGACCTACAACATTTCCGCCTCGATCGGAAATGCAGCTGCCGCAGGCGGGATTCGAACCCGCAATCTGAGGGTCAGCAGCCGAGTACCTTAGCCACTAGACCACCGCGGCACAGCTTGGTGAATACTTTTGTGTGTGGTGGCTCTGCGTAACCCATTAGATGAGGTTTCTGTTTTGAATTCATCTGCGCATGCCTCAGCAGTCTCTATTGTTCAGACGGGACATTATTTTTGCTTATAAGGGCTTCATGCAGATGCAGCTAAAGGTTTCGGCTAGGGGCTTACATCGGTGGCACAATTGTATTAGCTGCGGGACATAGTGTCCTGTTCTAATCAAGGTAGGATTAAACAATATTCAGTTATATCGCGAATTTATTAGAATAGATTTATCAGGGTAGCCACCCGGCAGGAACGGTTAACCAGCTTTCCGTATGGAGAGTTTAAACGAGCTTCGACGCTGGCCGCGAGGGTGCCCACTAGCCTCTTTTCGACGAAAAATGCCTGCACAGCCTCAAAACCTACGATAGTGTGTGGGCAATATTTATGTGCTACATTTCATGTCCCACTAATTCAATGCATCGAAACTCGCTCTAATGGCCGATGTGCACCATATTAAAGGCTAACTTCACTCCAAGTACAGTCGTTAGAACGTTCGTGGGAACCAGATAACCTTGGATTACAAAAACAGCCACTACACAAAATGAAAACCAGAAATAAAACATTTAACAAGTCCATAACTTCACTTGAATTATCACTAATAAAGAATACAAATTACTCCGGAAAAAATTTTCTAGTGAAATAAAACAATCTCGTACTCAATTGTATTCGATAAAATTCTCGGACATATTTTACGATCATAGTAAGACATGGAGCACCATACAGAATTTATTACACAAAATAACCACTACCTTGCCAATGGAAACACAAATTGGGAATCACGCGTTCAAATGTAAAGATCTTGCAAATGAATTTCATCGTAAGTTCTTAATTTCCGGGGCTTGCAAAGAAATTACCAACGACGCAGTCGAAAGCTACATGCCTCCGAGTCTGCTGCAAACAATGTTTCTTTGCCCTACAACACCTATGGAAATCCGCGGTTTGTTACTTGAATCTAAAAATAATTGTGGTTGTGGTTTGGATCGTATCAAAGCGGCACCTATTTAGGAAGTCTCTGATCCAATTTGTTATGCGCTCTCTCATTCATGTAACTTAATCTCGAAAACTGTTTACGTTTCTAGACAAAATAAAAATTGCCAAAGTTTGTGTCCAATACAAGGGAGGCGCGGTTAGCAATATTTCAAATTAAAGGCCAATATCTATCCTCCCGCTTTTTTCAAAGATCGCTGAAGAAGTAATTAACACCCGAATACCTATTCACCTAAAAAATACCAACTGTTATTTCCAAAACAATAAGGATTCCAAAAGGGGAAATCAACGGAATCAGTTTTAGGTAACATTGAAGAAAAAATTGTTTTCAACATAAAAACCGCCTCTATAGAATTGGTGTTTTTGTTGATTTTAAATAAAGCTTTAATTTCAATCAAGCATCATATTCTTTTTAGCAAGCTCCCATATTACGGAATACGTGGCACGGTCTATAAGCTACTGCAGCGTTATCTTTCAAATAGAGTACAGTTTGTTGTATATAATAACGCATTATCAGATGCTGGATACTTCGTTTTGGTGTCCCACAAGGGTATATATTAGGACTGGTACTATTTCTTCGTTATAATAATGATATTGTCAACATTCCTGAGACTCTTGATATTTTCATATACGCTACCGACACAAATGTGTTTTCTCACCTTGCTCACTGCCTCTCCATATGCATGCGTATGCATGAGTGTCTCTTCAAGAGATCTAACAGTCATCGTACGTAATGCGAATTCTTACCTCTAAAATTTATCGCAGTGGTTAAGTGCAAATCAGCTACTTTTGAATACACAAAAAACTAAGTATATTATCTTTTCTGCTATAAATAAACTGGTACAAAGTCAAAATGCCATGCTGCTCGAATCAGAAGTGTTTCAAGAAGTTTCAGATTGTAAGTTTCTTGGCGTCTATTTTCACGAATTCCTTCGGTGGACGTATCCTGTAAATTATGTAAAACGTAGTGTAGCCCAAACAATTTGCGCCCTAAACGAACTTCGTATGTTGTTACCCAAGAACATAAAACGACAACTTTACCATTGTGCAGTTCACACAAGGCTATATTATTGTATACTATTTTAGGGCGCTACCTCAAAAACAAACATTCGTGTTTTTTTTATCTAATGCGAAAACGTGGTTTACGATTCATTCACAACTTTTCAAGTCGACAAAATGTTTCTTCCTATTTCAAATATAGCTACATATTGACGATTAAGGACATATATAATCAACGCTAACTGAAACAGCCTTCCTGAACTTGAAATGAGACCCAGAAATATTTTATCATTATACACTTACGCTGAGGTGCAATATAGTCTCAGACAGACTGCAATAAAAAATTCAGACTACGACAGGATAGAGAATACAACTGGTCCTGTGGCAGATACCAACTCTATTTAATATGTACCCTTCTCTACTTGATTTGATGCACAGCTGCTCTTCTTTGCTAGCCTTCTGGAAAAAAAGTTAAACAGCTTCTACTCCAGCAGTATTGTGATGTTCTTCTGTCTCCTCTTTTGCAGCTCTGTTATTGTGTGCGAATGTGTTTTTGTGTTTTTTGTGAACAATGCTTTTGTGTTGAATCTTTGTAAAAAATTATTTTTTTGGTGTGTAACAAGAGTTATTTTATCACACATTTTTGTACTGACAAATTTTGACTACATGTTCCAGAAATGAATAGAAACTGTGTATGGGTTGCCTAATATTGTTGTATAGTTGAACATAGAATTGTATAAGGTTTTAATTACAGTTTCTAAGCTATTTGCGTTTTGTATTAAACTGCTGCTTGTGTGATTGTGCTTCCTGAGGCTAGGGGCCTAGTCAGGCGACTTTACATGTTGCCTTTTGCCATAGCCTCAGGGCAACTTCTTTTGTTGCCAAAAAAATAAAAAAAATGTATGTTGGAATATAGGAACAGTGAATCCAATCTTTTTTCACTGCTGTGTTGCGCAGCGTATAGAAATCTGTATGCTAAAAGGAAGATTACTGGACACTAACGTCCATGCTGTTCTTGCTACCAACTACAGGTGATAAGCAGTCGTGTTCCTGTACACCGTCTACTGCATACGACTGACGCCGTGTTTATTTTTCTTGTTGTTAGAAGATACGGTGTATAACAGCCACATTGCACTCATCAGATACTACTGTTTAATGACACTCTAGAACGAGAAATTTTTGCTGCAGTGGCGTCCTAATTCAAAGTGTCAATCGCAAGTGGAAATTAAAACACGCCCACAGGAGTGGCGACACGCAAGAGAAAAAGTGCCCACAATATTTGCTCGTACTCTATATTGAGCAATTCGTTTAGAAGCGTGCTCCGTGTGCTCATGGCTTGTCCATCACTCTCGCCGTGGTAGCCATGGTAGTTATCACCACTCGCGCTAAAGGCCTCTTGGTTGGTTTGTATGGCACCCAGTAGATGAGCTACCACCGCTTAGCCGATGCTTGCTCGACTCTCAGCGGTATTCCAGTTTGATAGGACCATACCTATTTGATGGTGGCGTCGCTATGCGGCAGTCGTCATAACTGTCGTTTGAAGGATGCCCGCGCAGCCAGCTCACGCCAGCGTTCAGTCGGCCTCACTTTGACGGTTCACTGGTGCATTATATTTATTCGTTGGTAACTTTATTATGGTTATTCTGAATTCGGGAGTGAACTACCGAAGCCGGGAAGGTACTGCGAGTTGTAGTAGTGATGATTTACTCTTTATTGTTTGCTAACAGAGAGCTACAAGTACAAAACTCACGAAATTCGTTGGGTGCCGCAGTGCACACGCCGTGCAGTCAAAGGCGAGGTTTCCTGCTTTCCACGAGCAGTAAACCTGCAGGAGAGGGAGAGCGAAAAAAAATACTTGCACTCGTGGTGCTTTGCTACCGCTGTGATCACGCTGGCGCGTGTAAATACATCCAACGGACTTTTGTTTAGAAGCGCGATGAAGCAGCGTTTGCGCCATGCAAAGTGATGATAGGGTTCGAATGCCAACGTCACTACTCACTGTTAGCTACACTATACGACTGGATAGCTGCGCTCTTCAGAGCACCACTGATTCTTTTGCAGCCGTGAATTGAAGCTGGAATACATAAAACAAGAAGTAAGAGCGTCAGGCAGCTTTATACCTGTGCCACTTTTGCTTCCCTGCGGGATTCCTTGGATGCACTAAGCCTCTGAAGCGTGCAGCCATCTGCTTGCGTGACCTAGCTAAGAGTGAATGACTGTGTGCATCTACTCCATGCCACACACATCAGCAGCAAGCGCTTCATTCGTGTGCAGCATACGTACCTATGAGCAACAGAATTTTCTCCAATAACTGCGGGTAGGTTTAAATAGGTTTGGGGGGGGGGGAGTTGCCGCCCCATAGTCACCTTGAAGGAGGGGGCGGGAAATTTGGTCATGCATGCTTTCCTTGCCGTATAATTATGTTTGGTATCTATTTGGCAGTAAAATGCACTTCACTTTACCTAATAGGGGTGGGAAAAGGCGCTCCAACAAATGCTCGTTATAATAATAGTACTCATAAAAGTTGCTTTTTATTGCCCCAAAGCGGTGCTCAACTTTAATAAGCACGTCTTTGTATTAGGGTCAAGGGGATGTACGGAGGATTCACGGTTTACCGGATTT